GTGCCTTATTTTGATCTCTTATAGTTGGATCCAGCAACAAGTGACTAATGCAAATAGAAAACAGCATCTAGCTATATACCTTCATAAGAAGCACCATTTACAAATTTAGAAGAGCTTAAATGACCTACTTTCTCTGTGTTTTGGCTGGGACTGGGAGCAGCTGGAGAACAGTCACAGGGAGAGGAATGCGAGGAGCTGACGTATACATATAGCTTTGATTGGTAGATCTGATGTCACTGCACTTACAGAGCACTGAAACCATGCATAAGGGGGCCACTAGCCATATGCTTTACCCTGACAATGACCAACCCCCAATAAAAAATTCACACCCCCACCCCAACACAGAACAGCACAATACATACACACCACTATAACTAACAAAGTACAACAATAAAAAAGTCGCTTTGTTGGAGGGTGCATGCATACCATGAGCCTTTGCTTGTGGCTCTCTGCATAGACACCTCCAGAGTCTCTCAGTGCCAGTGCCAGCCAGTAACAGGGCGCTACAATATCATCATAACAATGCTATTACCATGTCATGTATCTGTCTTTTGTTGTCATAAGCTGTCATGATATGTCTAGTAACATAACAGTATCATGTTACCATTACCATTATCTGACATGAGATACCATAAGAGCACACTTAGCAAAGATTAGCCTTGCAGCATAAGCTGTCATGACATCAAACATGAAACCATCTGCCCTGACAATTAAGCAAACATCTTACCTCAGAACTATTGTAAAATAATGTCTCAGTCATCAGGCAGTGTTTTCACAAACATTTTGTGCAATAACTTTCCAAGAGGGAGATTTAAGAGGCATTAAATGCTTCATATGTCTGGTTCCAATCAGCATCACTGTAAACAATTCTGACTCTGTACGTTTCTCTAGAATGGAGCATTTCATGTTGAAACACTCTATATGGCTTTGTTTACATCATTGTGAATTATGTGTGATTTTCTTTTAAATTACTTTAAAAAATGTAAGTAATTCCTAATTCTGTTACCTTGTTGACAGTAACTCCACTGCTTTGCTACTGGCCTAATGTTATTTAATGAATGTTAATGAATGTTATTTATTTATGTATTTATTTATAAGGGAAACTTACTACTGTAAATTTCTGGTCATCAGCATTGCTTAACCAATATGTGGACTAACATTTCCCATTGCTTTAAGCATCATTTGTAATCTATTAATTATTAACATGTTGCTTCAATTAATGTGTGTTTCGATTATGTAACACTTAGATGAGATTACATTACTAATTACGTTTGTTGCTTAAAAACATGTTTTAGAAACACTAGTGGAGACCTAGGCCTAAAACTCCACTGTAATATCCTCTGGGACACAGTAGATTAATAGCTGCTCTTCATGCTGTTAACCACCAGGAGCCAGTAACGTGCACTTTTTTTAAAAAAAAGCTTTGAGTGATGTACTCACAGCTTCTTGAATGTTTCTTGGCCAGGTGTGTCTTGTTGCATCGTTACTGCATGCCCAAGAAAGATACAAAACACTCAGTTGCATCTGAAATTTGTTGCTCAACATGAAGGTAAAATAGTAGGCATGCCAAAACCATTACATGGCAAAGAAGCTAAAAAAAACTCATGATCAAAAACATGTTACCTTTTATTGTAAATCATGGTGGTATGAACAGAGCCAGACTGAAGGGAGCCTGGCAATTTCCTATTTCTCCCAATATACCAGAAAAAGACTGATAAACATTAGAGGGCACCTGTGAGTGAGTCCTCAATGAATAGGGTGAATGGAGTTAAACATAAAAGATGATTAAAACTGTTTCTAGACATTTATGTTCCTTGAGCTCTGAAAGGCAGAATTAATTATTCTATCCCATCACTCCCATTCTCTCTCAGCTACACTGGTTACCTGTCCTGTCCCGTATAAAGTTTCTAATTTTACTACTCACTTTCAAAGCCCTGCATAACCTTACTCCCCTCTACCTCAGAGGACTCCTGACCTCTTACCCTCCCTCTCACTGTCTCAGGTCTTCTTGTCATCTTTTTTGCCATCCCAGGTCCTTCAGTGCCATGGACCCCAAACTCTATAACTCTCTCCCTGAATCCCGCCGTAACTGCTCCCTTTTCTACTTTCAAATCTGGTTTAAAGACTTTTATTTTACATTAGCATTTCTCTTACTACTTTACTGCTACCTGTTTTGTTTTTTTAATTCTCTGTTATGTAAAGAACTGTTGGACTGTGAAGAGTGCTATGTAAATGTTAAATGTAACTTATTATTTTTTTTATTATTAGAAAGTATCTTTCTGTTTTTCTACAACAAACTGGTTTTGGGTAGTACACTCCAAAAAAAAGATGATTCTTCAAGGGTTCTTTAGTAAAAGGAATGGTTTTTTTTTAGAACCATGAGTTCTCTATAGAACCATTTCATGCTTAAATGGTTCTTCAGACTGATGAAGAATGTGTTGTATGTTTCTATATAGAATACTTTTGAAAATGGCTCTGTACGGCACCAAAAAGCCTCACATCATAACAGCACAGCCCTTTTTGTTGCAATATAGAACCATATACAACACATTCTCCATCAATCTGTAGAACCATTTAAGCAAAAATGGTGCTATACAGAACTCATGGTTCTAAACAGATCCATTCTCTGTACTAAAGAACCCTTGAAGTACCTGGCATTACTGCTGCTGAGTGCTAATTGTTTGGCAAACTGATCAGCTCATTGGCTGAGTGAAGCGGTTCGCGCTCACTGATGTCATGAATATACATGAGGCACCGTTATAAAGTCCTATAACTGGAGTTCAAAAGTGCTCAACAATGCAAAAGCAGTTTTGCACAAACGCACCACAGGAACCCATTCATCCTGGTCTCGCTCTGGAGCCCTCTAGCTTCTAACAAACCCAGAAGACATTATGGAGTGACAATGCGCCTTACTAGAAATTCTCCAGTATGGTCACATAGATCTGGTTCACTGTTCTTTACTGATAGTGTGACGGCTGATGGCAGCAGTGGAATCAATTTTCAATTTTGGGTGGCACTTCTTCTGGCAGCTGGGCAGTGACCTCCAACATACTGCCAAAACAATACTTTTCAAGGACTATAAAGTTGAATGTTCTCGACCACTTCACATACTGAATACAAAACTGATGGCAAAAACAAACAGGCTTTGAAAGTGGCTGCATTTTATGCTTGATAGAGCATCACCAATGAAGAAGCCCAGCACCTCTTATTACACTTGGCGTTAACATACATCCTGGGTGATCTGATCATAAATGGACGTTGCTAAGTACACATATAAATGGGGCACAGACACACTGTGGTCCAATCACTCAAACCACCTTCGGAGGCAGTCAGGGATGCACATACCATTCGTAGTGCGAACGCTAAAAGGTTCCAATGCATCCCAGAAAACAAAGTTGCATCATTACAACAGCAACGACGGCAGTGGCACAGCTTATTTTCCAACTTTCTCTCCTTTGTTTATAAGCTGTGTTAGCAGTCCACGCAGTTTAAATGTGTATAACAGAGAGTCTGATGTAGTAAATGTCCACTGTACCCTTCATCCAGTCACAGAATGCAATGATAAGTGGCCACTGGAGATAAATTCAAGTTTATCAAATTCATTGGAGATCTGGGAAACAAAGCAATTTGGGATAACAGTGAGACCAAAGGCATTTTATCTTCAGGCCAGTGTTAATGTCAAACTTCGTAGAACTATCATTAACCTATGAGGAAGTTCTTTGCATTAGCATGTGTGTGGCACTTATTTATTACATTGCTTTGCAGCATTTACTAAATTATTAATCCAGACCAGGGTTCGTCTCTGGAGACACATGTGGCTCTTTGACTGCCCCCTCGTGGCCCCACAGAAAAATCAGATTTTTAGGTAAAAACAAAATAATCATCTTCGCAATAAAGCTTTGCTGAGCATTCTAACAGTTTTAACACAAAATGGTCTAAAAAGTCTAAAATGCTAATTCACCAACCTTTAACCCTGCAGATTGGTTGTGACACACTGCTGGTCACACACCAACACAGACAACAGTTTCGCCTAGCTAGTAGCTAACTAACAAAATGGCAAAGAGGAACAGTGAGAATTCAGGGATGACCTGAGAGACATTTTACAAGAGACTATTCTTCTTTTGAGGAAAACCATCCTGCCAGAGATGCAAGAAAAGCAGCTCAAGCTGAGCAAAAGTTTGAAGCAAAGCAATTCTGTGTTTTCATTGATATTTTTAGCATATACCAGGAAATCAGGACATACTTTGAGCCAGGATATTGAAACCTCACACCAATGAAATGGATGTGAAATGTTGCGGCTCCCAACATGACTATTTCTGTTGAAACGTGACAAAATGTGTGTATATAACGCTGTTGGTGGACGAAAACCTTGTTTCTCCATTTTTGCTGTTTTTCAGTTTTTGACAAAATTTGAAAATACCTGTCGTCCTTTACATTTTATGTAAATTTCATGATGAATGGATTAAAAGAAACAACCGAAAATTACTTGGAGAAAAAAGTCTGGTTCCATTGACTTACATTAAAAATAAAGTAGGTGGTTTCTGTCTCCTGTAATCATACTGGTTTTCTTCTGACAACAGCAATTATATATAATATATAGTGTGTGCGTGTGTATACAGACTTACACAAATGGTGTCTTTAATGTATCACTTTAAAAAGCATTGGTTGCAGAATCATCATTATTATCAATGCTAGGTGAATTGAAAACCCTACTTATATTAAAGCTGATATTTTGCACTTCCAAGGTCATTTCTTAATTTCAAATCTAATGTCCTGGGCACAGAGCCAAGTACCATGACCAATTACTTATGAACCGTAGCTGTACAAATAATGCCCAAAAATAACTAGTTAGACATCTCAGTAAGAAAACTGATTTAAGTACTACAGAATTCAAACGGCAATAAAAAAGAGCAGCGACTGAGAAGAAATGTTTTTTTTGAAATGCGAAATATTCCTTAATGTCAGAAATAAATTAAAAAATGGCTTTGCACTACTTGGAATGACAGTAAAAATCATGGTCTTTATTTAAAAAAAAAAAAAATCATTACACAAAAGACAAAGACAGTAACAAAGTGATTATGTAAGTATATTTTGGGCTTTTCCAGTTAAAACTACACATTCACCCTTAAATCTTTTATTTATTACTTTTAAGTGTTGCATTTTCTCCCAGTTGCTGTATACGCACTACTTACAGACCCCTGAACATCTGAACATCTAGTTTGGCAGTGATGTTTCTTTCAGTTGGCTGTAAAACCAATCCCTTTCTCCCCTTGGATTACTTAAACTATTGCCCTATTAAAAGGAGGTAAATATAGTCCATCATTCTTAACGAAAGCTTAATGAATTCCAGGACTTGGCTCATTCTGCTCCAAGGATGGTTGCTATAAGCCCATAACAGTGCAGCGTTTCACACATAGTGGTCCAATAAGGCGGGGGGGGGTGTACTGTTAAAATGCAGAAAAAAAATAAAACAGAACATAAAACATACATCATGGTGACACAGAATACCTACAATTGGACTCAAAAACAAATTAAAGCCTCCCCTTTCAAAAATCAACAGCCTTCGCAGAACTACTAAGCATTTTGTTTTAATAGATCATCTGATGTGGTTTTGGATCCAAAAGCCTACATGAAGAAGGAAGAGAAAGTGGAGATGCGAAGGAGAAAGAGGAAGAACAAAGGAATCAGGGAAGTGGACCGCAGCAAAAACAACATTTAACAGTGGCTTAACGGTTTAAATTCAGAAGCTCATGATCACCTTATTCAAAAAGGCTTTTGGGGCAAGCTTGCCTTGGACTGTATTTGAGCTTTGTCAGAACCAAAGCAACACATACTTAAAGCATCAGATGAAACATCTCAACTGAAGGGGCACTGGCATGTGAGAAAAGCTCTGACAAAAGCTCTTCCAAGCAAAACACACCAAAATACATACTTGGATTTGACACTTCAGGGTCGGATTGGTTCTGAAATGACAAGGCAAGGTGAATAAATGAGCAGTTTGGGAGGGAGGGGTGGGTGTTTGGGGGTTGCAAAGTGCTGAGAGCTTTGCTCAAAGGTCCAGGAGCTGACTGGCTCTGTGAGCTCAGCCTCAAAAAAGTGAAAAAAGTGGAATTGGGAATGGGGGGTGGGGGGGTTAAGTGATGTAAAACGGTTTTGAGCAAATTAAGGCTGGACCAAATGTGTAAGAAGATGAGATGAGTGTGTCGAAATGGGAAACAGGGGAACGTCCTCATCCAGAACCTTTAGAAGCTGTTGAGTTCGCTCAGGGTCTGTTCCAGAGTGGCATTGATCTTGAGGTTCTCCTCTTTGGCGTGTCTGAGCTTTTCTGCAAGTTGGGGAAAACAAGATAGCATTGAAACAAAGTTTCAGAACCACCATTTACATAACTATCAACTGCTTGAAAGCAGTTTGTTTATTTTTGATAATTTCATGCATGAAAAAAGGGAAGGTGACCATTTGTGCTACTTTCATTATAACTCATCTCTTAAAAACCATCAGTATCAAATAAAGCTCAAACCATACCTTTAAATGCACTTGAATTTATTTAGCCATATTGAGGAGTCAAAATGTTCCTTTTCAAAAATGTTTTGGCCTAGCAAGCTTCCATCAAGGCAAAAGATTGAAAGCAACCCATGTTATAATTCTGTTAACACTTCACAGTCCTGCATTTGCATAAGTCAGAGGTTTTCAGTATCAATATCCACTGACTCATCTGCACTGTTGGAGATCCCCGTAACGTCTGCGTTACATAAGAAACCACATTTAGGGATGTGATGCAATTTGGAACAACCAAATTGTGCTAGAGCATAGATGCCTATTCCTGGTCCTGGAGATCTACCATCCTGAAGAGTCTGGATCCAACACAACTGGCTCCAACATTTATATTCTCATGAAGGGCTTCATTACCTGGACCAGTTGTGTTAGGTTAGAGTTGGATCTAAACACTGCAGGGTGGTAGATCTCTAGGTTCACAACTCGGCACCCCTTAATCTCAGCCTCATACGCTCCACCCACATGAAAACTGAAAAGTGTCTGATATCTTTTGTGCACAAAGCTGGCCACATCTATTGTGACTGTCAGTTGCATTCCAATTGGCTGTTTGCACATTTGTGTAAATGCACTTCCGTGGAGCATGTTTGATCAGTCAGACGAAACAAAGTTCTGTTTTTGCAGCTAAATTCTATTAAACAATGGCAAACAGTTGCCTGCGCTAGACATTGTGATGAAATATTTCTTTCAGAGCAAAAATCAGTTGTTCAGAGTAAAACAGCAGGCTGTGATTGGTAGTTTTGCACGTCAAACAGACTCTTCCTGACTTGGCCAAGTTACGTGGCGAACAGCCCCAGACTCTTCATTCTTGCGAGATTAGCCAGCCCTATGCTCAGGAAACTCTTGTATAAACACAGTTCTTATTATGTACCTGTTTTACAGTTATGTTACAAGTTTATTTCTAAGCAGTTTGTTTTGTATTATTTTAGACTTGCTGAATTTTTCTGTCTGGATATTTAAATTGTTAAGAAGTGGTTTGATCCAAAATGCTCCATTCTAGAGAAACTTAAATGGGAGTTGTACACAGTGGTGGCGATCAGAACTAGAAGTCTGAAGAGTTTCATGCCTCTTAAAAGCTCCCTCACAGGAAGTATATATATTCAAAATAGTTAGGAATATGCTGCCCGATGCTGGAGACATTGTTTCATAAAGCTGATTCATGGCAGAAAGGTTTTTGCAGGGCACTGTAGGACAAAATGGTTTCCAGAGAAAATGTTGTTTCAGATTTACCATTAAATTACCAATATCACATATAAAAACTCAGAAGACAAGTGTGAGTTCACTGGTCGTTTTGAATACTAAATAAAAAGGATAAAACTGTAGTAGACATCAATCCCCTGTTTCCTATCACCACCACTGTACAGAAATCAGAATTAAGTTTCCCTACACTACACAATTTCACATCAAATCACTGACTTCTCAGTGATTAAATTAGACATTTTTTGAAAAGTCATGGAGGAATTTCCTTTTAATAATTTTTGCAACTCACAAGTGACACTGGAATATCTGAATTTTCAATCTATTTTTTGACCACATCAAATTATACTGGCAGATAATAGTTATAGGAATTTTCTGGCTCCTTAGAACCAGAAGTTTGTGTCATCTCACTTCTATCTATAGTTATAAAATTTGCTTCTTGCGCTAAAGTCTTATCTTCATGTCTCTCAGTCCTATCTAAAAAAAGTGTCATCTTCAAGAATGTTTTTGAAAGTCATAAAAGGAATCATCTGTTCAGTTCTCTTTTTAGTAGTTCTTCATTTCCAGAGCTGTTGTAGCTACAGTTTGTTTTGTTGCCAAAACATCTCTACCAAAATCCACTAGATTCAAACCAGTTAGTACTAATACTAAGAAGAATTAATATTAAGATAAGAAATGAATTTAAGCTAAAAAAGAAGTAAAGGTTCCCAGATCCAGGTGCCATAAAATGCTCCTTTCCCAAAACAGTGTCTCTAATGACACCAAAAACAGGGAAGTTTCATTTCTCTCCTTTAAAGCCATGATTGCTGTGAACAAAGCTTAGTCTTGCTACTCCTTCTAGACTCTTGTGACTAAAGAGGGTCTTACACATGAATTGCGTGAATATATAAAACACTACATTAAGGGTCATAGAACAAAATAAATGTGCACATGCAAGCCATTACAGTTGTCAATACCCCAGCCCAGCCCAAGAAAGTGAGACAAGTAACAATTTAAAACAGAGAATAAGGGTTCTTTTCCCCCTCCCTTCATTTAGCATGTACACAGAGCATCAAAATACAGCAGAAAGACAAAGGAGAAAGAGCTGAAGCAAGAAAAAAATATACACTAACCAAAGACAGTTCATGTCCAATTACTCTATCAAAGCCTGATATAATTACAATACATATGACAGCACAGAGGGAAAAGAAAAGGCACAGAATGCATGGACTTAATAAATAGACAAAAGATAAACAGAATAAAGACAGATACATAAAACTGGAGATACAGAGAGAAGGCGAAGGATGAAGCGGAGGGGAGTGTGAGGGATCGAGATGGACAGAAGGCGAAGAGGGCCAAGTAGAATTTCTTGAAGTCAAAGTCAGCCAGAGTAAAGTCCAGAAACTTATCTGTAAACAAACAGGGATGATAAACACCTCACTACAGACTGACCACTTAACACCAGTCTATTTCAGCCAAACCAAACTAAACCCAACAGACACAGTTGAAAGGGCACATATCCTACATCTTTCCTGTATTCTAACTTCTTCCTTTGACGTTCACTTGTGATATTCGTGTGGGTTTTTGCACCAAAACAGTTCCAACTCATTTTTCCATGACAGCTTTCTGAACTCTTTTGATCTCTCAGAATTAAAGTTTTATAACTCTACTGTTTTTGTTACTGTGCAGTGTAAATTACCTCTCTTAGGACTTGCACTGTATCGTGCCTTACTTTGACATTAACGTGAATGAGCGGCACTAAACTGCTGTAGGCCGTACATGTAAATGTGCTGGTTTTCGTGACATCACAAGCAACGATGAATTCAAAACAGGCTATTTTTTACTCTCCATCATAATTTCCATACATGGACTGAAGGAACAGTACATGTTAATTTTCACAAAAACACATTTAAAAATAAATGATATCAGTCCCTCTGGGAATGTGCAATTACAAACCCATGCCAATTCAACCAATCCTTGCATTTTTGCAAAGGCTTGCCATTTTTTCTACATTATCACCACATTCAATCACCACATTATGATCTCTTTAATTGCCATTTAATGCACAAATATTGTGATGACTGGTCGAAACTGAGGGTCCTTGAAACAATACGAGGGTTAGTTGAACTTGTGGGAATTTGCAATAGTAGGTTCCGGGAGAGACTACTCACTTTCTAGCTAGCGAACTGTATGTATGTTTTCCATGATATGGGCCCTTTAAAAACAGTACCGGCATACTTTAGGCAAATACAGGTTACATGTATTAACAACACACCACACAACAGCAATCTTGGCAGCTTTGTGAGTGCACAACCACAGTGAGAGAAAAGAGTTAATAATACTTCAGCCTTATTTTCTGTTTTCACACAAGCAACTCGATCACACACTCCATGCAGTGCTTACTTCAGATCAGCTGCTCACACATCATACAATTAATTGAAGTGCATCCATCACACACAAAGGTTACGGCTGCATCTCAAACATGGTGACTAAACCTAATACAGTGGAGTTACGAAGACCAGACGGGCTATTATATTAAATGCATTCTACTGAACTGTGAGGCTATCTCTGTGAGGCTCAGACAGTAGCACAGCTCACACAGCAAGTGAAACATCAAGCAAGTGCACACACACTACAGGCCAGTAATTACATAGAGGTCATGTCGTTGAGGGCGTGATCCAGCTCTTCACTAATGGCCTTGTACTTGAGTTTCTGAGCATAGAGCTCATCTGTTTGTAGAAAGAAAGAAAGAAAGAAAGAAAAGAAAAGAAAAGAAAAGAAAGAGAAAAAAAGAAAGAAAAAGAAAAATGAAAAACAAAAGAAAGAAAATCAGAAAGAAAAAGAAAGAAAGAAAGAAAGAAAGAAAGAAAGAAAGAAAGAAAAGTAGATGACAGAAGAACATAGGAAGGAAGAGTGGGGAAAAACATTATGATTATGCCATGTAAGACAGGAAACCAAAGAAGAGAGAGTGAATGAGGGCGCGTGTGATAAAGGGAAGCGGAGTGAGTGAATGTAATACGGGGGTTTTGCAGGGGTTAGGAAGATGGAGGCAGTTAGAAAGTGAGGCTTGGCAGAGAAGGGAGCCCCTACCTTCCAGGTCATCAATGGTCTTCTCCAGCTTGGCCACAGACCTCTCTGCAAACTCAGCACGGGTCTCAGCCTACAAGACACACACACTTAAAGTCAAACTTGCTGGATCAACACAGTAATCAAGAACACACTGATACAGACGCTGAAACTGTAAAGAGCCACAGGCAGAATGACATCAGAATCAGCATCAATCAGTCGAAAGAGACTGGACTATACTGTAGCTCATTGTCACAACAGAACTGTAAGAAATAACCTTTCTAATTTATAAGAAAATAACCTTTAATGTATGCAATGAGAGATGGCACTGGGAAAAATGAATTCAATCCAAATTTGTCCTGAAATAGTACAAACTCACACTGCCTTCTTTTGGATGCTTACCTTTAGTGAAGTGCTTCAGTAATTTTTCAATATAATTTAAATATTTTACAGCTTTGTGGGTTTTTTGGTAATAATCTGTTTACTGGAGGGTTTTTTTTAATTCAATCTTTGAAATGGTCAGAAGGGTTATACAGCATCATAAACAATTACAGATCAAGTATGAAATAAATATACATAAAAAACAATGTTACACACATTTATTTTACACTAATAATACTACTAATTATTATTATTGTTAATAATTATGGTCTCCAACTCTCCTCCTAGGGAGTTTAGTTCCAACTTGCATTCAACAAGCCATCTCCTCCTTTACCTACACTAATGCATCGGATCCATCTAATCAAGGACTTCCAAAGAAGTTCTCAAAGACCTACAGACAGTGCAGAATTTTGCTCCAACTTAATTTGCAACACATAGGGACAGAGCTATAATGTAGACCGTATGGGGCTTCTCTTGAGCTTGCGTGGCAGACTGCGGTCTGAACTACACTTCACAGGAAGGAAAACCTCAAGGACCAGAGTGGGTGACCACTGTTGCAGATAGTGTAGCATGTACGTTTTGCAAATATCAGCTAGCAGAAAACAAAAAAGTGGCATCATGCCATCTCTAACATTAGCGAAACTAGATTTTATCGCAAGTAATTCTTGACCATTTCTATTGGTCCACTCTTCATGAAATGTTGACACAACGTAAAGGGCATCTGGCATTTTCAAATAATATAATGAAAAATTAAAGTAATGAATGAATGGATAGTTTGGGAATGAGAGTGACTTCACGCTTCATGACAAAACTGGAGAGTGAGCTCACCTCTTTCAGCTTATCAGTCAGGATCTTGATCTCCTCCTCATATTTGTCCTCCTTCTGGGAGTACTACAGACACAGAGGAAGGAGAGAAGCGTGAACCAAAATCCATACACTCAACATAGCCCCAACAATCAAACACAAACACACATGCACACACACCTCATACAAAACAGAAATATAAAACTCAAAAGGTTAACTACTAGAGCTACCAGAAAGGGCCCAACTTGAACAGTCGATGAAGATGATTGAGCAAAAAATATAGTATTTTGTTGTAGAGGTTTCCGTGATTGCTGGGCTTTTGTGCTGCTGTTGTGCAAGGTCTGAGAAACCACACATTTGTGAGGTGCTGGGTGCGCTGCCAGGACTTTAAACAGATCAGGACATGTGCAGTGGAATGTGGATCACAAGAGAATGACCATATTTATACATGGAACACTGAGAGCAAGAACACTTTCAGTATTTAAGAACAAGCAAGAGAAACATGTACCTACTCACCGGTGAATGAGAGTTGCACACATTTCCCAATGACTGCTTTTCAAATGTAATATTTTTAACTACACACTTAATATTACATAAAACTATTTACATAAGGAGTACTAATATTAAATACTACGATTTAAAAATTGCACTAAGGCAGGAAATCATCATCATGTCACTTCCAACCAGATTCAGCCCATACTAAATAAATGAGACACATTTTAGCCACAGACTGAAAGCTATAATCGTGGTCAGGGCAAGTGCCTTTGCGTTAGATGAAAGCTCCAGGCTGGTTTTCCTTTATAAACAATTTACACCAACCGAGTGTGTGTACACAAACATGTCTTTTAGACGCAAAATTAGGAGCTAGGCTTATCTGATCAATATCTGAGCACGACAATGTTTCAAAGCAAAGCTGCCTTGGGTACACAGGATGAAGTGAACCCACAGCTACAGCTTAAATTAAACAAGAGTTAAGCATTAATTCTTGATGTTTTTAAGAATGACATTTACTCAAGATCCTACAAGTCATCCTTAGGACTACTGTGCTTGTTTCTACAAGTACGAGGACAGTGAGGCACTGGATCATTACACCATTGTGCTCAGTGTATACTGAGTCTATACTGAACATCTCAAGATGGTTAACAGTGGGGGAAGTGAGGGTCTTCCACTTCCCTGCATTTGATTACAGCTTCTTCCTGATGTAATGGGCTCCACATTGTAATGTGGTTCAACATGTTTGGCCTTTCGCTGTGGATGATAAAACACAGCTGTATGGCCAGGAAAAGGCCACTCGTAAAGGCATGAGCTCATTTATGTCCACATGACCAGACAGAAGTCATTGATTGGGCAATTAAGATGGAGCAGCTGTGATTGGCTAGGGAACGGGAGGAGGGGTGGGAGGCATCTTCAAGATATGGAACTAGAAGACACTAATTGCATCGCTATTATAAAATAGTAGTGCTTCTACTCCTGGTCAGGCCTGCAGTCCTGAATAGACATTTCGGTGTTCTTTGCTCCCGACACAAACCAACAGCACAAATACCTAAAGATAATGTCACACGTTCATGCCATACGGCACGAGACAAGTCTTGCTTACCCTGCGTGAAGGGATTTGAACATTCATCAGCTCTCAGTAGATCAGTTTTGACAGCCCTCTGTAAGCTGTACACAGCTATAGCCCTTACAGTTCAGAGATGCTAGGCAGAGCAGGCAGTGGCTCATTTAATGAGGGATCAAGTCACTCCCACTTCACCATCACCCACCAATCCTCATGCTTATGATTTTCATCTGCTGCTATGTTCGAAACATGGACTACTACATCACTTACTTGAGAGATCTGTGTCCATCATTGTTTTTCACGTTTCACTTTCACTGATCAACCAACCTTTTGACCCAATTCATGCATAAATCTTTATGAGGCTTTACTCAGGCTTTTTTTTATATCATGTTTAATGTACATTTTCAAACTCCACATAAGAGGTGGATGGAAAACACCAACACACTGGCTGGTCGTTAAAAGATCATGCAGCACGCACCCCCTACCTTCTCAGCCTGGGCCTCCAGACTCTTTAGATTGTTGGTGACATTTTTCAGCTCCTCCTCCAGCTCAGCACATTTACTGTAAGCAGGGCAGCCATTTTGATTTTAGAAGAAGAAGTGCAGAGAAAGAGAGAGAGAGAGAAAGAAAGAGAAATAGGGCAAGAGGTGAAAGTAAGAATGGAGAAATAGAACATGTATAAAATAGCTGAAGAAGAACAGGGCTTAGGAGTGCACAGAGAAAGAAAAGGCAGGTGATGTAACTGTAGATAGTTGAACTCCCTAAGAAGTGACAACGTGAATCTATTGTGCCAGTCAATCGATAAAGGTCTTATTTTATGCATTTTTCTTTCCTTTGACTGATCTTTACCACGGCATAATCAAATATAAGCCAAAAATGCTCCTGATGCAAGTTTCCAGCAGTGCGTACAGTAGATGCTCTTTAGTGGCCTGAGCTGTCATCAAGATAAACAGCATAAATGTTGCATTGACATGTGAAAAGCATTTGCACTAACTTCATGATCGTGATGTGAGAAGTTTCTTGTTACACTCATGCCAAAAAGTCAACAAGCAGCCCTACAACAGGCCGAATCATGCAGATTTAGTTGGAGAGATGCCTGTTGCAGTGAGGGTGGCCAAGAGAAGGAAGGAGCAGGAAAAAAAAGGAGACTGACTTGAAAGCTGCAGAGAACAGCAGAAGCAGAGATTGAGAATGGCCTTTGCCGGAGGAAGGAGTCCAGTATCTTTTCAGATGCCTTTAAAAGCTTTCACTGAAGGTAACCATGCATGTACATACATGCACACACTCTCTCACACATCTTAGAAACTGAACCTTCCAATGAAATCAGGTTTAACTACAGCAAAAGTGAACACAGTTCATAATTCATATACACATCAACCTCAAAAACCAAGGAGCTCCAACATACACTGAGATGCCTGTTTATTAGGTATCTACCTTGTACCCAAATTCAGTGGCCATTTTACCAGAAAAACCGACTATATGGGGGCACTAAGAAGGTTAAAATTATTCAGTTTAGTCCATCTGTTGCTGCACAATTTAAATTAGCCTCCATCTACTCATTATTTAATTGAAAAAGGGCTATTATAGGACCACCACTGACCAGATGTTTGGTTGGTGGACTGTTCATACCACAGCAGCAACAATTTCACAGTAGTAAGTCTTTGACAAGACCACATTTTTTGATATAATTTCATTGGCATCAGAAAACTTTTAAACAAATCAGAAACTGGGAGGGCCTAGCACTCCCCTCCCCTCCCCCCTCAGCGCCCCAGTAGCTACTCTCCTACATGGTAGTGCAGGTTGATGAGTGAAACAGTGTTGATAAATGACACACATACACAAAAAACCCTCTAATACCTTTTCCTCAGAAGCCTGCAGAGTCTTCAGTGTTTGATCCAGAGCCCTTAGCTCCTCTTCCAAATGCTTCTTATTACTGTTAGTTCAGTAGAGAGGGTCACACCAAGGGTCAGACATGCCGAATCACAGGAAAGAGGTAAAGTTGGAGACGGACACACACAAAAGGAGTAGTATTCCAGTCAAATCATTCCTTTTGTCATGCAAATGCAAAATGCAAGCATTCTTCTCATGCCAAGGTCATATTTAAGAGCTTTATGATGAAAATGCGACTAGAAGCATACAATTAGACACTGATCAGTATGTGCACCAACACTAACTTCAGAAAATGGAACATGTTTAATACAATTTCTTAAAACACAGTTGCTCAAAAATGGAAGGATGTCATTCTAAAACGATACACTATAAATTCTCACTTCGTATTTTTATTAATGAAATATAATAACTATAATATAAGCACTAATTATGACTCATTACAGTCCACGCAAACTTGTTTAAGAAGATAACAAGTGTTTCGGAAATTAAATGCAACAAGTGCAAACAAAGTGCTGCAGCGTGTCTAAGTAAAAGCACCTCTTAAAGTGTGACACTGCATGTCAGAAGAAGCACTGTGCCGGAGGGCTTTTCTACTTCAGACTTTTACATCGACATCAGTTAAATGTAGGCTAAGGAATAACATTTGTCTTTTTTGGTGGTGTTTTATTAAAGCGACAGTTAAGGTGTCTAATATGGTGGAATATAAAACACTTCTAGTAAGTCTTATTTCAGCAATCTTCAATTACCAAAACGTCTTAAAACAGATATCATGTTTTTGAATGAACGCTTCGACTGTGCATCCCTACATACAAGAGCCATACCATAAAAGTAGTGGAGAGACATTACACTAATGAAATATGAACAAGTTTTGTGGAGAAATGAGCACCTTACACTCACACTGATATGGCTATAGGACTTAAGAGCGTGTATAGAAAATGCAGTGCGTGTTAAGATGTATGACTCACGCCTCAGCCAGCTCTGCCCTCTCCTCAGTGCGCTCCAACTCTCCCTCCACAATCACCAGCTTACGAGCCACCTGTAAACACATACACACAGACAGAGTTAATTGCTACCAGGTGCTGAATTCCTCCATACCAAGCAGCTGGTGTACAGGTGAGCTTTCCTACATGCGAGTGTGAGCGTGTCTGATGACCTCACTGTGTTGCATACATTCTTCAGGTGGTGCTGAGTGAGTATACTACTGAAAACCTGTGTAGTGCCTGTACCTGCCTGAGTACAGTACATGTATGTGTCAGCATGCCTTTTCAATGAAGTGAGTACAAACTGGCACCATGGAATAGTGTGCATGTGCGTTTTACCCACCTCCTCGTACTTGCGGTCAGCCTCCTCAGCAATGTGCTTGGCCTCCTTCAGCTGGATCTCCTGCAACTCCATCTTCTCCTCATCCTTCAGAGCCCTGTTCTCAATCACTTTCATCCCTCTATTCGCACAGAGAAAGAAACGTTTGTCTTTTTGTGGTATTTTTGGAATTTACAGAGCATGTACATGTGTATACAGGTGGCTTGTAAGGTGGTGGCCATTGAGGTCATTGTGTATGTACCTCTCGCTCTCATCTGCTGCCTTCTCTGCCTCCTCTAGCTTCTGCAGGGCTGTGGCCAGTCTCTCCTGAGCTCTGTCCAGCTCCTCCTCAACCAGCTGGATACGCCTGTTCAGAGAGGCCACTTCTGCCTCAGCCTACGACACATACACAAGAAACTATTAGCACACTCCTGTTACATAAAGTAATTAAGAGACAGGAAAAAAAGAGTGGGACAAGGATAAGGAATGGGAGGCAGCCCACTCTTGACAAATCAAGACAAATATAGTCAACATCTTGGAGAATGACAAACGAAGAGACAGACATTTTGGCACTGCCCACGCACACAGATAAACAGTTTGCATTATCCTGCTCCCACAGGCACTTAAGTTACCATCTATGTTGATACTAACAGGCTTTAAGACAAGGTGTTGCAATTTATATTAAAAAGGAGGGTAAATCTTCATGGCAGTTCTGAGCAAAGACTCAAGGCACATGGACATGTTTCAAAAGTGCCACTGAGTGAAAATGAAAGAGTTCTGAAAATGCCAAATGTGTTATGAAAATGTCATTAAAACAAAAACTCTGCGCAAGTCAAATGCTTATTATGGCTACAGAAACGATAGGTAATAGTAGTTCAAATGATTTAAATGATAATATTACTACTGGACAAAGATGTAACAAGCAATATCAAACTAAGGAATTAATGTGAAATGTCAAACCGTCACCGTTACATCCCTCTTTCTCTTCTGAGGGTCGTATTTTCATGGAAACCACAGTTAATCAAAACTGGGCTACTAGGACGCACAACTTTTTGTATTATTTATGTACTGTATACATCCCTCTTTCTCTTCTGAGGAAGAGAAACAGATAAATGCTACTTTTTTTTTTTATTTGTAAATAAATGTGTAGTTTTCAGGCCCAACCCAATCTCTGCAGTGTATAAGCAGAGCTCTGTATAATAATCAGCACATTTAACACAAATATCGAACATCAGACTAAATCTTAACCGCAGAATCGAAAACCGTACCGAAGCTGAAAATCGTTACAGTGACACCACCAGCAGCTGCATGTTAAGCGCTGCTCCTCCTCAGCTGAGCAACAGTGTGAACACAGCCTAACTGAAGTGCCGCCGGATGTTACGACATCGCTCACTGACTCTGGAGTTTCGCTCCTAATAAGGACCGAGTGTCGAGGCTGAGGGGCGAGTTCATCTCCAGCGGCGCCGCAACACGCTAAGCACGTTTGAATGACCGGAGGCGGTTTCCCTTCGACAAAAATGACCAGAGTGAACACCAGTCAGGCGAGGAAAGTGAACATAGAGGTCAGCAGGAGCTGAAACACCTGGTGTGGTCTGAGCAGGCTAGTGTCACTGAGGCGCACCTGGGTCCTCAGGTCTGCCCAACGCCTGTGAAGGTGGACAGGCTAACAGTTCTCACATTTCTCTGAGCCGTGTTAGCGTGTCTGGTCTACCTGAGTGACCATAAACAGGGCGGACCTGCATTTCTGACCTGAAACGATACATAAACACGAGGGCGACACTGAACGGGTTAAATATGAACATGAATTTAAGCGGATGCTATCTGCTACAACCTGAGGCCTCGCCGAAAAAACAGGTCTAATTTAACCTCAGAACTACGGTCAACAAATGAAAGAGAGAAAGAGAAGAAAAACAGTGTGTGAATTAAAAGAAACAGGTAATATGTGGAGTTCAAGGTCCGAAAACTGAAGTTTCTCTCTCAGCTAGCGTCAGCTTAGCTGCGGGCTAAATCAGATAAAAGGGAACCCAGACTAGCATGTAGCTTCTTCCTCTGGTGTTACACTTTCGAGGATCTGTATCTGTGAAAGAGTGAAGGAAGAAACCCACGCAGTCGACCTGTTTGCTAGTGTTTAAGTCAAATGTTGGAGCGGACTTCTCCTCACGGCTCCAAACAGGGAAGTCCTGCTGGGATGCTGCCTCTAAATACCTTTCATTGCTGCACGGGGCGTCGATGCAGGGTGTGAAAGACGGACACTTTCTCTCTCCGCAGCTCAGCGGAGTCAACCGACATCATTTATCTCAGTTATAAAGCCCGCTGTGCGCTGTGTGGGGAGGCTGTAAAAGTGATAGTCGGTGTGGTGTAAGTTACCTGCTCCCTCCCACGCTTCTCCTCCTCGACCTGCCTCTGCAAAACCTCGGCCTTTTCTTCTGCATCATCCGCCTGCTGCTGCAGGACCTTGATCTTTCTCTTCACCGCGTCGAGGCTGTTGACTCCGGCCATTTTAATGTGCTGTTCGTGTTTAGTAGTGTGCTCGAGTAATCAGTGTATCCTCTCAGAGCTGGAAGCAGCGTAGTGGACAGGGCGGTGACAGCACCAACGCCCCGCCAACAAGTCAAACGCAGACAGCAAGAGGAGCGGGAGAGTCAGAGGGGTTCAGACGGCTCTACGAAGCCCGTCTGGCTAGATTTACACCAATTTACGGAGAACTTTAAACCGCTAATATCCAAACTAGGCTAGTGTTCAGGCGCGTGGTAGTTTTTAGTAGTCCAGACGTAGCCAGGAAGCTCTGAAAGTTGACTTTTCTTCCTTTTCTTGCTTCTTCTCTGTAGAAGGACGTGGCAAGTTCTCCTAAGTCACCGGCTTCCGCTGGAGAGAGAGAGCTGGACTCCTTCGCTTTAACGCCGCCGCTTTCCAGTTTCAGCTTCGAAGTAGTGAATTAAAACATAAAAAGAGTGGCGGTGGAGTCTTATCTCTCCTCCCCTTAACTCTCTCTTCCCCCGGTTAGTTCGTTTGCCTCGACTCTTCCTTTTTCAGCCGCACTTCCGGCTTGCTCCACCCAGTCTCCGACGGTTTGGAGAAACAATCGAGTGGAAGTGCTGATCCTGGACCAGAGGCGGCGAGTTTCTGACGGCGATCAGGCGTCATAAGCTGATCTCCGGACAGCGACTGGTCTCGACCTGCGTTGTGATCGAGGTGCTCGGGGAAAAACCACCCCCTGGATTACACGTGTCCAGGTACATGACGCAGAGCGACTCAATCATTGTGGCATTCCGGGCCGCTCCTTCACTGAGGTGGGGCTGGGTAGGCTTGTCGCGTTGCTGGGGTTGAGTAAGAAGTTTTAAACCTCATGAAGAACCCTCTCTGACTTAACGTGCTGCTTTATCGTCCTTTTTGTCACCTAATCACATTATAAGCAGATAGGTCTACACATGTTTTGAGCCAAAGCCATGTAGATTAAGTTGTCTGTGGCATCATAATGCCATGTTGGAATGAATCCAGAGTAGAAAGCACATTCCTGGTGATCAAATCATGTCTCTTAGGAGCATGTGTCATTACAATCAACAGTAATGCACTTATGCATTCAGGTGTGTATGCTAGTCTGGCTCTCGCTCTCTCTTACAACACAACAGGATGCTGAAACATGTCCTTACACACTTTAACTCATGATGAAGTCACTACCAGCACTGATCTAGATGCTACTTGCATACAAACTGTTTCAACAAGCCGTTTCACAATTTGATTGTTCCTCTGTCACGGTTCTTAAGTGTATGTTCAGTAGTCTAATCACTCAAAGGGCTATTACCTATCTTTTAGCTTCCTTGTAATTATATTAGTGGAACGTAGGCCATGTTTTGTAGCAAGATAAATAAATGGTTCTTCAAGGGTTTTTTAGTAAAGACAATGGTTCTGTATAGAACCATGAACACTCAAGGAACCCTTTGCATGATTAAAGGGTTTTTGCATCGTGATAGTGTTCTTCAGTGTGATGTAGAATGTGCTGTAGATGGTTCTTTATAGAACCTTTTTGAAAAGGTTTCTACATAGCACCAAAAAGGGTTCCACTATTGTTACAAGCCAAAGAAACCTTTTTTTAGTACTGTATAGAGCCCTTTTTGCTGAATGTATTGGTATTTATATTGCCATTTTTTTAAACAGTCCTGCATTATATTTATGTCAAACCTTTTTAACTCATGGTCATGAGTTTGTCTACAGATTAATGTTCTTACTGTCTTCTTTATCTATGTATCTTAGCTCGAAGTAAACTAAGCAGAAAAACAGCTTTGGCAGCAGTTTTGAAGTCTAATTGCACAGGTGTAGTGCAGATTAAGCACTACAGTCAATATAGTATAAGCAAATAGGACAGGAAACCTGCCAACCCTGCGGCCACTCTTTCCAAAGCAAACAGAAATTGCAGGGCAGTAAGAGACTAAGCTTCACCTGAGGTATTGATACTGTAGAGATTTGAGCTGTATATTATCTCAGTGCCATGTCTGGATCGTATATGTAGAAATTAAATCAGGTCATAAATATAAAGATGCCAGAAGTACAGGCCGTACTAGTAACAAGACCAAGCGTGAGGGCTTGCTGTGTTCTCTGTGCGGAACATAACGAAGAGCACTATTGCAACACCTTCTCCTGACTTTACACTGTGGTTTTGCATGAGCAGTGACATTGGCATTATTTTACTAGCACCATATATTAGCGGTGAGAAGTACACATCAGTGTTTAAGATAGGCCTAAGGGAATGGATTTTGTCTGATCATATTATTTAGATTCAAGCTCACAATATGCACCTTAGTATATAACTGTATGGCTGTACAAATGTTCAAATTACTCTGTAATATAAATAACACTATACAAAACATGCTGCAAATATCTATATATTTAATATTAATATCTTTGGCTTTTGTATCTATTTTTATACTTTAATTTTCCTCTTAGCTAATATCGCATGTTGTCGATATTTGTTAGAAGTTTCACGTACTTGTCTGGTCTATGAAATGTGTTATACCTGCATGTGACACATTTGTCATATATGACGAACTGAAATAAAACTGATTCTGACAGACTGACATGACAGCGGGTGGAACTGTTCTCTAATGAATGATGTATAGAAGCAGAGCACCTTCTCAAACATGTGGACCACTGTCAGGCTTAAGGCTAGTTATTATATCCTGTTGCCCCTTCCTGTCTCCCCTCATCAGTGTGAGAAATATTTCTGTTCGACTATGTGAAATAACCCTGTGAAGGGGCCTAGCACATTTTATATGCACTACTACAATCCCACCAGCAGATGACGCCAGAGGTCCAGAATCAGGGTGTATGACCACAGTAGAGACGTCTAATATGGCAGGTCATTTGGCAGCTGTAGTTAATATTTGGAGGCCATGAGACAGCAGCTCATAAAACAAGCACAGAATTTACACAAATCTTAGTGTTTGATTATGGCCTTCTGCTGTTAGCAGTGGGGTTGGGACAGGACTTTGGTCCTGGAGGGCCAGAATCCTGCCCAGCTTTCCTGCTTAAACACATCTGATTCAACCCATCAGTTGATTAGCAGATTTGGTTGTTTTATGAGAGCAGAGAAAACAGAATTGTGGTGGATTCTAGCCCTCATTTTCCCAAACTGTGTTTAATTAAAGCCCTTTGTATTATAGGGTAGTAGCTTTCTCTTTGTTCTTTTGCACACAGAAAAAGAGGTCTTTATGAATGATCAGAATACATTACTAATTCTTTGTCATGCACTTTGTGTTTGAAGTGCAAGCAAACTCCCTAATGAGCTATGTTCTATCAGGTTTTCCACTGGAATATTTCACTCATTTGAGCTCTCCCAACTGTCCATAAGACATTTCAACCAACAGACATGAATAGGGCCAGTAATGCTGAAGTGTACATATACAGTGAATCTGAGATAAAATACAAATGGTTGTAATGAAGATATAATACTAGAAGAAGAAACATTTCAACACTAGATTTTAGTTGGTTTACACTGGTGACAAAGATAATTATAATATGCCAGCTAATTTAGGTGTTAGCTGATTACATGTGTCTGCTAGCTGTGAGCAGAAATCTGAATACATTTTGGTCCGAGGTGATTGAGCACTTTTTACGCTTACATCTTACTATATAAGAGTTTGTCTGACCGTATGCACATAGTTAGAGGCAGTGGTGGACAATAACAAAGTAAATGTAATTCGTTGCTGTACTTTTAGTAGTTTTTCGTGTATCTGTACTTCACTGAAGTATTTCCATTTTGGGTGACTTTTTACTTTAACTCCACTACATTTCAAAGTCAAATATCTTACTTTTTACTCCACTAGATTATGCAAAATCTGTTGTTCCTTTTGTCTTTTGAGCGCATAAAAATGTAACGTCAAAACGATACAAGCGCAAAGCAAGCACACCAATCAGGGTACAGCACGCACTTGTTTTGAGCTTGTTTTGACCTGTTGGACATACCTACCCAGTGCAAGCATACAGTCAGTGCTGCAACGTAAAATTTTGGGAGCGCTTATGCCAACATAAATGATGGAACTAACCTAACTTTGTGTAAATAGACCACAATATAGAAATATGTACACATATGCAGTTGTGACTGGTGTGTCTTTTTTCTGAATTTATACAAACACCATTTTATAGTAAATTTGTTTTTGCTGGTATATGTTTATGAACGGAGACCTGCGGAAGGAATATAGTAAAGGAAAACTCATTTGTGAACCTGTGTTTAAAGCAAGTTTTTATTAAACTTAAACTTGTTTCAATTTAAACAAATTTTTATATAAACTAAGTTGCAAATAAATCTTAAACCGAAATGTTTCTTGTTCGCAAAAGGTTATTTCATAGCTTCTTGGTTCTACCTAGTGGAAATTGTTTGCCTTCAGTGTTTTGTGCTTTTGATAATTTTAATAGACATCAGACTAATTAATGACATTCTATTAAAATATTGGTGTTACAAGAGTGACACTAGAGTATTTTCACTTAAAATGAGTTGATAAAGCAAGAGTTTTGTTACAAAAATCATAATTGATCTTTTAGTACTTTTGATACTTAAGTACATTTGAAGGCAAATACTTTTGTACTTTTACTCAAGTGGAGGTCTAAAGGGAGGACTTCTACTGTTACTGGAGTAATATTTTACCTTGGGTATCTCTACTTTAACTCAAGTACATGGTTTGTGTTCTTCGTCCACCACTGGTTAGAGGTAACAGTAACTGGAAACTAAGCTAATAATTTCTGTACTCACCTGTCAGTTTACAGAAGAGGTCATAGGGAACGAGGTGGTAGGCATGATCTCGACCTCTAAGAACACACATACATCACATGCCAGACTCAAACTGCGACAGCATATCTAGGCACACATACTACCACACACTCAATCAGATATATTTAGTTTCAGAGTCTTATTTTTGATGCTGCCAACCCATGATACAACTAAACAACTGAGTTTATCTTTAACAGAAGGTTTGAACAGAAGCTGTAGCTAAAATTACACTGTCCTTTACCTCTCACATTCTCATCATAGCTGTACAGCCTTACAGTGAGTTGGCCCCACAGGGCCAATTACTCAAGGTTCTATTTAAAACATCTTCCTTCATGATCAAACTAGTGTGTTGCGATCTGTCTGTCAGCTCCAAAATGCATGGCAATTAGCGAAGACGTCTTGTGTGCTTAATTACGCTCGATCGTTCTATGAAACCCGAAATACTTATTACGAAATAAATCCAGTTCAGTTCAGTTAAGCAACTTTTTTTTTCTTTGACTGCAGAGGAGAAGAAGGTGAGCGATAGCTTGGCTGTGGGGTTTTGTCAAGGTTTTAAATAGGCTTGGAAATGACAGCTGTAACGGTGGCAACCCACACTTGGTCTTCCTTTGGGAGCGGAGCTTATTGCCCCAGCTGACTGACCCAGGGTTGCCAGATTGCTGAAGGCAATAAATCTTCCTCAGATAGCTCTGCACAGTATGTCTCTCTACTGCTCTTGTGTGA